ACCACTTGTCTCCCCTTCCTCTTCCTATTTACATGCTGAAAGAAGCCCTTTTTGTTGCTCTTTATATTCTTGGCAAGTCTCAGCTCGTAATCAGCCTTAGCCTTACGAAGAATCCTCCTGCAACGGGCCTCCTCCTCCTGGTATACCCGTCTATTTGCCCCAGTACCCATTTCCTACAGAGGTTCCTCTTTCGTCTAATCCCTCTAACCACCTCCTTTCGCATCATGGCGGTGCTCTCCTCCGCCTCCCTGCCTTACCTTACTAACTAGAGCATTTAGTCAAGGCTTGCACCTCCAAAACCTCCCTTTTGAGTGCCATCCACCCCTCCTCAACTCACTTACCTTTCAGTAACCTATCCCAGGAGACTTTCCCCAGTCTGGCCTTCAGTTGGCCAAAGTTGGCCCTCTTGAAGTCCCAGCTTCTAGTGCTCAACCTGCTGCACGTCCCCAGTCCCCTGATCTCAAAGCAAAGGATGATCACTTGCATCCAGAGCTCCCCTAATCTGTACTTCATCTATCAGCTCCTCTCTATTGGTCAAGACCAGGGGTCTCAAACTCAACTTCCCTGGGGGCCGCTGGATGTAGAGTCTGGGTGAGGTTGGGCCGCATCAAGTACCCCACCACTGTGGTGGTGGTGAGCCGCTCATCCCGCGTCACTCCCGAAAGCCGGCCTGGGCATCACCAGCGCTTTGAAGGCCACAGGGCCCCTCCCCCATGCCCCGCCCATCCCGGCAATTAGCCTGCGGGCCGCGAGTTTGAGACCCCTGGTCAAGACCAAGTCAAGGATGTTTCCCCCCCCCCTTCTCACCTCTCAGACCCTCTGTGTGAAAAACCCTCCCTCTATAGTTTCTAGGAAGTGACATGACCTGGCTGTCACTGCCGAGTGAGTCTCCCAACTAATATCCAGGAGCTTGAAATCTCCCATACTTACTGTGTTCCTCCCCCGAGATATCCTTAGAATCTGATCTATCAGGACATCATCCAGGGTCTCAAGTTGACCTGGAGGGCGATAACATTCCCCCACTGTCAGGTCCCTTTCCCTGTCAAAACCCCTGAGTTTCACCCAGACTGCCTCTACCGAATCCCCATCTGTGCTGCATTCTATCTCACTGCATCCTATCCTTTCCCTGACGTATAAAGCCATGCGCCCACCTCTCTTTCCCTTCCTGTCCTTTCTAAAAAGGTGATACCCCTCTGTGTTTACAGTCCAATCTTGCCTTTCATCCAACCAAGTTTCTGTGATCCCCACCAGGTCATACCATCCTATTCCCAGGAGAGCTTCAAGCTCTTCCTGCTTATTACCCATGCTCCTAGCATTGGTGTACATGCACCTCAACTCCTTCCCACCGCTTCCTTTCCTTGGAGTCTCCAGTCTCCTCCTTCCTCCCATCCTCCCCAATACTTGGCCCCTCTCTGTAGGAGTCCTGTCAGTCCCTGCAGTACCTCTAAAACCCTTCTCTCAGAGCCTTGATCCTCTCCCCACAGTTGTCCAGTGCGGACAAGTTTCTGGGGGGCCTGAACACCCCCCCCCGGCTCAGTTAAAAGTCTTCCGGACGAAGCTCGCTAGAGCATCTCCAAAGGACCTTTCCCCCATCCTCGTGAGGTGCAACCTGTCCCTTGCCAGAAGTCAATTGGCAAGAAAACGAGTGCCATGGTCGAGGAACCTGAAGTATTCTTTCTGGCACCACACCCTAAGCCAGTCATTCACCTCGGAGGCCCTCCTGTCCCTTCCTGGCCCAAATCCCCGGACTGGTAAGATTGACGAGAAGGCCACTTGGGCCTTCAACTCCCTGAGTTTCTTCCCCAAGGCCTCAAAGTCCCTGGTGATCCCGACCACACCCTGCCCGGCCACGTCATTTGTGCCCACATGGATCACCAGGTGCGGCTGGTGACCCCCAGAGCGAACAAGACGCTCCACTCTGTCCTTCACATGCCGGATGCATGTGCCCGGCAGGCAGCAAACCTCCCTTGTCTCCAGGTTGGGGCGGCACACCGCCACCTCAGTGCCCCTCAGCAGGGAGTCCCCAGCGATGATCACCTGCCGCCATCTCTTCTTGGTGGTGGTAGGCAGCCATGCCTTGGCCCTCGCCTCTCCTGCAGTGGCCCCCTTGCCACTTGTGGTCCCAGGCTGGGGGTGCTGCTGGTCCCCCAAGGCCTCATCAGCCCTGGCCTCCCCAAGCAGAGAAAACCAGCTCCAGATCGGCGCCAGGAGGAGGAGGAGGCCTTGCTGGCTTCTACCTCCTGTGGGTGACATGTCTCCATACGTCCCTGGCTGCTCCTCCCGTGGCCTCTCCCTCAACCCTCTGTCTGGAGGGGGGCTGCTCCCAGGGGGCCTGGAGAGCTCTCTCCGCCCTCAGGCACAACTCCTCCTCTAGCAGGACCACCAGCTTGCACCAAGGGCAAGTGTAACCCTGACTCTCTTGGGGGAGAAGGGCGAACATGTCGCAGCTGTCGCAGCAGGCAGCAACATCCTGCCAGGGCCCTCTCCTGGTCTGCCATTGGGAACCCTTCCGGGACCCTACCTTGGTCCCCCACCTTGTCTGTCCTGCAGTACCCCTCACTCACCCAGTTCTTCCAGACAAAAACCCACTCACACACACTCAAGGACAAAATAAAATTTAAATTGGAGAAAAAACAAAGGAAAGCAAAGTACAGAACAGCACAAAACAAAACAAAAACGAAGAAATTAAAACAAAGCGATTAAAAAAACCCCCCTCAGCCTCCCAGGGAAGGGAGTTCCCAGGCAGCGCGGGCCACAGCTAAGGGACGCAGACAAGGGACGACGCCAAGAGGCCAGAGCCAAAAGGGCTTGCAGGGGCTGAGTGCGGCCGTATCAGCCCCTCAGGCCAGTGGTCCCGCCCCTTGGCTTCCTGCTGGCCCCTCTAGCCTCTCTGGCCCCGCCCCCTTCCTCTCTGGGCTCCTGGCCCTCTGCTCTCCTGCCCAGCTCCTACCTTGCCTTCGCCAGTCCCCTGGCCACCCTGCACTCTCTCCCAGTCTGTGCCTCTGCTGCTCTGCCAAGAGGCCAGAGCCAAAAGGGCTGGCAGTGGTTGAGCACAGCCTCATGAGTTTCTTGTTGCAAAATTTAGGCTTAAATTGAAGACAGTAGGGAAAAGCACTAGGCCACACAAGTATGACCTAAATCATATCCCTGATGAATAGACAGTAGAGGTGACAAATAGATCTGATAGACAGACTGCCTGAAGAACTATGGACAGAGGTTCGCAACATTGGACGAGAGGTAGCAACTAAAACCATCCCAAAGAAAAAGAAATGCAAGAAAGCAAAATGGCTGCCTGAGGAAGCTTTACAAATAGCTGAGGAAAGAAGGGAAGCAAAAGGCAAGGGAGAAAGAGAAAGATACACCCAATTGAATGCAGAATTCCAGAGCACAGCTAGAAGAGATAAGAATGCCTTCTTAAATGAACAGTGCAAAGAAATAGAAGAAAACAATAGAATAGGGATTACCAGAGATCTCTTCAAAAAAAAATGGAGATATGAAGGGAACATTTCATGCAAAGATGGGCATGATAAAGGACCAAAATGGCAGGGACCTAACAGAGGCAGAAGGGATTAAGAAAAGGTGGCAAGATTACACAGAGAAACTATACAAGAAAGAGCTTAACGTCCCTGATAACCACGATGGTGTCGTCACTGACCTCGAGACAGACATCCTGGAATGTGAAGTCAAATAGGCCTTAGGAAGTCTGAGGAACAACAAAGCTAGTGGAGGCGACAGTATTCCAGCTGAGCTATTCAAAATCTTAAAAGACAATGCAGTAAAAGCGCTACACTCAATATGCCAGCAAATTTGGAAAACTCAGCAGTGGCCACAGGATTGGAAAAGGTCAGTTTACATTCCGATCCCAAAGAAGGGCAATGCCTAAGAATGTTCAAACTACTGCTCCACTGCACTCATTTCACATGCTAGCAAAGTTATGCTCAAAATCCTCCAAGCTAGGCTCCAGCAGTATGTGGACCGAGAACTACCAGAAGTACAGGCAGGATTTCGAAGAGGAACTAGAGAGCAAATTGCCAACATACGCTGGATCATGGAGAAAGCTAGGGAGTTCCAGAAAAACATCTACTTCTGCTTCATTGACTATGCTAAAGCCTTTGATTGTGTGGATCACAACAAATTGTGGCAAGTTCTTAAAGAGATGGGAGTACCAGACCATCTTATTTGTCTCTTCAGAAACCTATATGTGGGTCAAGAAGCAACAGTGAGAACTGCACACGGAACCACTGATTGGTTCAAAATTGAGAAAGGAGTTCGGCAAGGCTGTATACTGTTGCCCTGCCTACTTAACTTATATGCAGAGCACATCATGAGAAAGGCGGGACTAGATGAATCACCAGTTGGAATTAAGTTTGCTGGGAGAAATATCAACAACCTTAGATATGCAGATGATACCACTCTAATGGCAGAAAGTGAAGAGGAACTAAAGAGCCTCTTGATGCGGGTGAAGAAGGAGAGTGCAAAAGTTGGCTTGAAACTCAACATTAAGAAAACTAAGTTCATGGGATCCAGTCCTATCACTTCCTGGCAAATAGATGGGGAAGAAATGGAGGTAGTGACAGATTTTATTATGCTGGGCTCCAAGATCACCGCAGACGGGGACTGAACCAAGCTGAACCATAAGGAAGGCTGAGCGCCAAAGGATTGAGGCCATTGAATTGTGGTGCTGCAGGAGACTCCTGTGAGTCCCTTGGACCGCAAGGCGATCAAACCGGTCAGTCCTAGAGGAGATCAACCCTGGCTGATCTTTAGAAGGCCAGATACTGGTGGGATGGTGGAGGACAGGAAGGCCTGGAGGAATGTTGTCCATGGGGTCGGACACGAGTTTGCGACTAACAACAACAGCAACAGAGGCCTTGGGAGGCTACCTTACACAGGCTGCCGTTGTTTGGCAACTTATTCTGACAGCAAATTGGGTGTATGCTGGCAGCAGTTCACAGTGGCTGTGTTCAGACAACACTGTACCCCACCATAGGTTATGCATGAACCTAGCATTATCCCCATGGGGTGGTTTATAAGCTCTGCAGAGGCCCCTGGGATACTGAGGAAGGGGGGGGACACAAATCCCTGCTGCACCTGATTGTCTATCAGGCACAGATCTTTACTCTCATGACTGGGTAAAATTCATGTGTGGGGGAGGTTAACATGTCCTGTCAACCCATCAGAGGACTTCTAGTTAGAATGATCTCAGGGAGGAGGCTGGTAGCACAGGGACTGAACCTGGAACCTCCATTCTACATTTTACATCTCTTTGCAAATGTTGTATGTGACTGCTCTGCTTCAGCCAGACAAACTGAGCATTAAAATTTTATAGCATCATGGGCACAAACTTACCAAACTGACCTCAACCAAAAGGCGATGACAAATGATGTTAGTAATGACTGAAAGCACCAAGTTCTTCTAATAACTGTTTTGATCATTCCATGCCTTTTTATTTCAGAAAATATTGCATCACAAATAGCTTTTATAAAAGCTGTTTAATAACAACCATCCATACAGTTTGCATTTTTCAATGGCAGGGGATGATGGGAAATACAACAATAAAGAAAGATTGGCTCTCTCCCTTCTCCCGCCCACCCATCACTGGCCACAAACCATCATCATTACACTTAAATATGGAAGAGCAGACATTAATTCAGGTTTTTGACTTAAATTTGGTCCGTAATTGGAAATATTGGGAAACAATCCATATACATGCTCAGCATCAGCTGCTGTATCCTCTGCTATGCATTCACTTGGAGAACAGTTGTAAGAGTATTTGTTTTCTCAACGAAGACCAACAAACAAAGCTCTTAGCAACAGTCCTGATGTAGGTGTGCACTCGGGATAATAAAGGCTCTTCAGGAAGACCCAAGATCAGATATAGAGGTAACTGGTTTCCAGAAACAGTATTACAGACTAAAAACAAACCCTCTGCAATTTCTATGATTAGTTCTACGTCCTGTTCCAAAAGCAGACACTAAACACATTATGGGTTGTGGGTCAGTACAGTTAAAGGAAATCCTGTTTTCCTTTATCAGATCTGCTTTATCAGATGGGTTCTTTAAAATGAACAGGCAGACAAAAAACTGCTACTTTCAAAAATACACATTTCAGTGCCCTGCTGTGCAAAAATCTGTTTACTGAACTTTGGAAAAATTATGGTTAGATCTCAGAATTATGCTATGTATCTACTAATTCACCTAGGACGAGGCAAGCAGGGAAAGCACTACATAATCTCCTGCTCTTCAGTCCAGAATATGTGATGGAGGAAGATACCACTCTCTCTCTCTCTCTCTCACACACACACACACACACACACGCTACCTCTTACAAAATCATGGAAACTTGATCACATTAGATGTAAGCCATCATCCTCCCCAGGTAAGATTACAAGTATAAACGAGCCTTTTTCTTGGCCAAAATGGGAGGCAGAGTATAAGGCAACGGTATAACACTGAATTGGGAGCTAAGAGCTCAATTGATCAATAGCTTCTTCTGTTTCAGTGGGAGCCAGGCTAAACTTGTTCTCCCTGTCCCATGCATGAGGAACTCAAGATGAAAACGTGCAGTTCTGTGATTCTTTTGGGGGAGGGGTACATTCACAGACACTGTTAAAGCTGTAACCTGAAGCACATGGCTAGTGCAGGTGATGAAGGCTGGAATAAAGAGAGTTGTGATGCTCTTTCCCAAATCGCTTTCCCCTGTAATGCATATTTTCCCTTTTTGAGATGAAAGCAGACACATAAGTGATATGCAGGGGGGTGCTATTTTCAGTGGAAAAGCAGCATCTTGGGAAAGAGTCAAGGGGACATCTCTACACACACAACGATCACATTTGCATGATATAGCACAGGTCAGGATGGGTTACAGCAATCACTTGGTATATCCAACGCTCACTCATAGATTGTCATGTTCTACAAACCTGATGACTATGGGTTATGTGAGGTTGAAACAGCCCTTGCATAACCCATGATCACCTGATTTGCTTATTCAGATGGCAGCTACACATGTCCCAGCCTCACCATGGGTTAAATGAATAACCAATGGTGGCCTGTCATGCCGCGCGTACCTCCAAATGCACACACATCTTCTGCTTCCAGTTGCTGCCTCTGTGAGTGTCCAACTTTTAAAAGAAGTCCAAAAGAGGAATCACCAAACCACACATAACATCTAGTTTATCCTCAGTTATCACCAAAAGAACTCACAAACGGGAGTTGTAATCACTTGCAACTTTCTTTATGTAACATTTCAGAACAGTAAGTTATCTGGAGTTAAAAGCAGGTAATGGAATCTGACCTGCCATGCAACCAAGAAAGACTGTTCATGGTATTGCAGCTTGTGTTATATTAGAAATGCTGGTATCTAAAATTGTTCCAATGAGGAGTTATGCTTACCAAGACACACCTCCCTACAGTCAAAAAGGCATAGAAATTGAGGCAATGTGTTCAGCAAAAGCTGTCCCTTTTATGAATGGCTAAACTAGTGTACGTAAGTGAACTACACCAATAAGAACACGGAGAGAAAGACACATATGCAAGATAAAAAGGTGCAAAAGGCTACACTGCAGTGTAAGGCACTTGCAGGAACTGTACACGCTACACTGTGGCTTGACAGTTCTGTGCAGGAGAAATGTTGTGCAAGCTGGGCTGGGTGGAAGCAATTTTCTGCAGCTTTGAAGCGATCCTCTGAACTGCCTTGGAAGACAGAAGACTGATGACAGAGATAACTACAAAAATGGGAAGCCCTCTTTAGTAAAGGTGGGTTCACCCATACCAATTCAAGGTTTGAATTAATGTGGGGAAAAGTCCTAATTTGGAAGGGTGGTCTCTCTCTCTCTCTCTTTGGAACACGGCCCAACGTTTGTAGGAGCAAGGTGGGCAGAAGGAAAGGAGGCCTGGTTTCTACTAGGCTCATCCAACTGGAAGCTGCTTCGCAACTGTGTCCTGTTGGATTGACCCACTTGACCTGGCCTACATAGCACCATAGTCTACCCAGTTTAGTCCTTCACTCCTATATAAAAAGTACACAGATGAGGTATATTTAGGACTCAGCAAAGCTTAGGAGTGACAGGCACATTGTGGTATGGGGAGAGGATGTATCTCAGCCTTTTTCTACACATTTTGAGTTTCTGGAGGGAAAAGAAAACAATCACCTACTTCTCTGTGTATGCTCTTAGGTCATGCCAATCAGCACAAGAGGGCACAGTAAGGGAACAAGGAAAAATGTAGGCACAATGCTACAGTCACTTAAATGCTAAGAGTGGCAATGGAAAGGCCGTCTTCACCTCCCCGTCCTCCCACCCTGCTTTTTGCTCTTCTAGTTGAAGCATCACGGAGGTGGAAGAGAAGAGGCTTTAGGACTGTTTGTCCCCTGGCCTCTCCAGAGGCCCCTCCTCACAAATGCCCCCTTTAATGCCATTGTTGCTGCCCCAACACTGAGCACAGCTGGTGTGGAAATAGGGCTAGAACCCCAGTGCCCATGCCTGACCTCGAAGCTGGGAACCCAAACTCTCCCACAGACCCTCTGACAATATACAGTGGCCACAGGATCATTCCCTTGAAGAATTTTGGTTACTTCCTCATGTGAGGCAACACTTCCACAAGCTTTAGGGCGAGATGTACCCACCAAGCTGCATACAAGTATGAATTGTGGCCTGCCAGGCCTATGGCCATCCCTTTGTTTTGCTGTCCGATTCAGACGAGGGCATCCTTGGTGGGGTACGATTCATGATGGATGCAGTGTGTTTGACTAGGGGAATCACCTGGTGTGTAGAACTGCTTTATGGAAATTAGAGGGGATTTTTTTAAAGGCCTGTACAAAAATGCAAGCTCAATTTATTCAGTATAAAATATCCCCATTTTTGAATGTGATTAAAACTTCACAAGCCATTACAAGCTATCTGCTTGCCTGATTTCCTTGCATCCATCTTAATCCAAACTTGAGTAGTAGTGGTCAGTCACTTTGTTTATGTGACCACTGCAACCCAGCATGAGTTATTTAAGCCACAGTAGATAGCAGAATGTCTTGGCAGCCATTTTGAATCTTAATTCCCTGGCAAGGGGTTGCCATGGTTTGCAACATTATCCAGACCCATTAAATGCCCCACAAATAACCCTTCCAAGGGTTGAAGATTCAAAATGGCCAAAAGTACATACCACAACCCACTGTGGCTGATTCAAGCTGCAATTACTGTGCAAATTGGACCAGCATGAAGCTCTCAGAGACAACCTGCTTATTCCTTCATCCCATAACCTGTTAAAAGAGATATCCTCACCATATGTCTACCAGAAGGAAATACTGTTGTGATCAAGAATGCAGTACTAGGAATATCTATCACCAATTAGGGCAAAGGAAAACAAAAGCCTCAGTTCCTTCTTCGTATTAACTGAAGATCTGCAATCTGGAATGAGAAAACGTGGTGAAAAAATGTTTTAAAAAACTGTAAGGTGCTCCAGTTGCAATAGGGCTTAAAGCAAGTCTTAGTATTTCAACTAACCCTACTGAATGTGGCAAGCTCAATTACGAAGGATACCATTTTCTGAAAAGGACAAGCAGCCTAAGAATACAAAGCATCCTTAAGTTATTTCTGAGTGATGGACCAACCTCCTCTCTCCAAATACCCTAGTTCTGCTTCAAAAACAAGGGGATTTATAGCAATTAGAAAAGGGTGGCCACCAAGGTAGGTTTTGCACTTAATACCATCTAACACCTTCGGACTCCCAAAAGCAGTGGATGGTATTAAGTGCTTTCTACATGGTGACTGACCACTGCATGACACAGCTTTTGTCACCCCACATTCCTAACTCATCCACATATTAAGGGGTTAGGAATTGTGCTGCTCATCATTTGTCAGGATTGCAACTCATGTAGTTAGCCTTGAAGGCAAGGAAAGAATAATGGTGAGAGGAGGTACAAGTGGCAGCCAGAACAGAAATGGATCTAAATTCATTTGGGTAAAACTTAGGAAAAGTTTTTTTCCTCAAAAAACAAAAGGTAAAAGTTTTAATTCTGAACACAGTTACTAGGAGTAAGACCTAATGAGCCTCACTTCTGAATAAATACGCAGAAGGTTGCACTGCCCAGCAAGTAGTATTGCTATCCTATGCTTGGTGGATAGACCCCTTTGAAATGATGGACTCAGCTACACAGATGCCATCAGTACCCCATGAAGGCCGCCTGTTGCATGGGAGGAAAAAGCACACAGAGGTGTGAGGAAATTGCTTGCTTCTGAAATAAAGATATAGCAAGCTACCATAAAAGTACCTCTGGCCTCTGCCGCCTTTTGAGTGAGTGGTGAAGTTTCTCCCTTCACTAAGGCACTGTAGGTTGAAGGGAGTCATTCTTGGCCAGTGGAAATAAAGAGTCCATCACACATACCAAGCTATTCAAGCAGCAAATCTAGATGCTGTGTTCCAGGAGAGCTCAGTTCTTCTAAGACAATGGAAAATTCTATTTTATAAAGAACGGGGAAAAGGAGACCTACATCTGTCTGGGAGCCACACATTAAAATGTCAGCCTCTGAGACTGGCTTAACACAAACTTGTATGCGAGGTTGTGCTTTTCCTTTCCCAGCCTTGTGAAGACTTGACACATCCTGAACATTCCACTAAGCTTACTGGTTGTGTAACAGAAATAGAAAATTTAGGTAAAGACCTCACCAAGATTTCTCCCTTGATCCTGACTCAAACTGCATTTCTCACCAGCTGTCTCTGTGAGATTGCAGTGAGTCCTGGTGCTCCACACACTAATCTAAAGTTCTATTCCCTTGGCAACAAAATGCATAATGTCCTAGAGCTGCCATCTCCCCAAGCTAAAGCATCATTAGATGCAACAAGAATGGGGGTGGTGGGAGGGGACCACACATTGGGAATGGAATTCAGAGGAAAACATACTTCCTATGGGCTGGAAAAGAAGCAGGAACACTCTGAAGAGGAGAAATGCATAACAAGGCAATGCACTAGGTGGGGAAAATGTTTGGTGTTCCTAGGCTCCCCTGTGGAGGGAGAGGGCCTGTTTGGTTATGGCAAACCGCCTGGAGAGAGAACACGATATTTTCATATTTTGTCTTCCAGCCGTTTGAAGTGGAACCTTGTGAGGACAAAAGGGAGGAAGGTGCCTCTTTATTCCTGGAGTCCTCAGATTTGCACAGTCCGTTATTTTTTTTCCTGAAACATCTCCTGCAGGCAGTGCTTTGGCTCTATGGAGACTTCAGCTTCTTGGTCCGTGGAGAGGTACCGTTTTCTGCTTTTACAACTCCATTTTCATGGTAGCCTGAGGTTGAACAATGGAGAGGGTGAACATGAGATTGGTTTTCAAAATGGCTGTTATAAGTAAGTACATGGCTTTAAGTGGCTTTTTGTAGGCTCAAACAACGTGCTGGGGAATTCCATGCGTGAGGGAGTCCTACACTGCCGCAATGCCACCTCCACATCTTGTTTCATTCCTCTGCATCAGGTCGCACAGACCCAGGAGAAGGACAGTTCATCCAGTCTGTCAACATTTACCAAACCAAAAGCAGTCATCCATACTATGCGAGCATCTGCATGCATGTGCAGAGTGGAAGAAGATTGGGAAAGTAAGGACAAGAGAGGCTGGTTAACCTCCCCACAAAGAACCCACAGCAGCTTCTATGTGGCTTCTAAGTACCCCTCCATCCAGGCAGCCCAGAGGGTCAAAGACGGTTTTCTTCAGCAGCGTCACGTGACCTTGCATCATTCTCTGAGCCATCTGTCGTGAGCTGAAGTCCCTCCTTCAAACAATCACCAGCCACAGACTGGTAAGTTTTCCTTGCAACTTATTTTATTCCTTCCAAGTACAAATCACCCAGAATGGATCTCTCAGCATGCACAGAGTGCTTTGCTGAACCCCATCTAGTGCTTACCTCTAGGAAGTCGTTTTATGAACGTGCGTAGCCCCATCCCCTCAGGAAGGGCTCTCTGAAGGCAAGCATGTCCTCTCTGCGAGCTGCTCATTCAACTGGGCCTCCCATCTTTGCTGGAGCCTTGCCATGGGGTCGAGTGTAGTGGGGGTGGCTGATCTGTTTCTGACCTTCCCTCCTCCCCAGTGAGCCCTCCTGCTTGCCGTGCATCTTGTCCATTCCCAGGAACTGCTGGGCTTGGTGAAGCGGCTGGCCTTGAGATAATCGCCACCTTCACCTCCTCCCCCATATCTCAGAATCTTGCTCTAGCCCATCCTCCCCAGTCTCAGTGAAATGTGCTTCACTGTATGATTCTGAATCATTGTCTGGCATGCAGCCAGCAATCCATGGGGATGATTGCCCAAGCCCATCATCCTTCCTACTCCCAACACCATCCGACTGTGGCACATGCCACAGAGTGAAGGTGGAGACAACCGCCAAGAAACTGCTGGGTGTCCTTATGTGGCTAAAATGCCCCAGACGGAGCCTTCCAGCTGTTGCTGCTGCTTCAGTCCCACGGAAGTACTTGATTTGCCAGCAGAGCTAGCCTGACACATGTCACAGCAGATGCGTCTCTCAGAAGAAGCATACCCTCCATCCCGTTTGCACAGGAAAGGATTCCTGCTTCTTGCAGTTTTAATAAAGACTTGTTGTAAAAGTATTTCTTTTAAAAATCTGCAGCCCATTTAACCTTTTTAGTTGATCTTTTCATTTTGTAAGTGATCAATCTAACCACGTAGTTTGCTATACAGTATAGTTCTGGTCTGCATCAAACACAGGTTTAAATCCTAGGCTGACTGGGCAAGGTGCTCACCAGACTCCCTTTTGATGGTCTTCAACTGTTGTTTGCCATGGACAGTCACTGCGGCTCTTTTTCTTGCACTCTGCTCGTTCCAGTATTCCCGCCAGCGCCGCAACTGGAAGTGGATGAAGCGCCACATCATCCAGGCCTGTGACAAGCATATCAGAAGCAGCACACATAGCCTAGGAGAAGGCAAGAGAGGCAAGCTGAGAAGACGCAATGGCCCAGCTGCTCCTTAGATGACATCACAGGGCTGGGCCTTGGCCCCAAGACCAATTGAGCAGGATACTTTGCTCTAACGGCCCTGCTACCAAGTTGTCTTTTCTTCATTGCAACCTCCGGAAAACGGAGGCTGAGGCTGGCCAAACCCAAGTCATCTGCTCTTCTGCCCAGCCAGTTTGCTACTGCTGGAACAGGGCTTGAAAAAAACCTGCTTAAGTTACTTCTCACAGTTGTGGATATTATCTCGGCTGGCTTATTTCTGTGAAAATGCTACCTACTGAGTTACTTAACCTGAAAACTGCAGCCATCGTTTACACAGGCAAGGAATTCCATGTGTGTCCATTACCATAATATTCATCTCAGTGCTGTGAAACAGGTTCCCTCTTAAACAGGATTTGCTGGTCAGACCCGGCTTTAATGTGATCTAAGATCAATTTCAAACTTTCCTGTGTCTAAAATCAGCAGGAGACAGGTGTGGGGATTTGGGTGGGCAAGGGAGCATGCAACCCTCAGCTCACTCTCAATGTGCTAACCACGAGAGTGAGAACCATGCAGAGTGCCAGTCTGCAATTACTAAGGAATGGAGAGATGAATTCAAGCATCATTATTTCCCTCCCCACCAAATAATCTTCCTCCACCTGCTAGAAGCAGAAACTCCCAGAGTCTTACCTGAAAAGCAAAGTGTTGAAGTTTCCTTTTTCAGGGTCAAATGCCTGATTCTCCACCCGAGCCAACCCAAAGCCAATGACCAACACGGAAAGAGTAAGGGTGAAAAGGCGGGAGATGACGAACACCACTGCCCATGCATTGAACCTTGCGAAAAGAGAAAAAGAGACAACTCCACGTTATCAATGACAGGTGAGACCTGCCATTCCTAATCGGTTGGCACTTCATTATATAGTAACTACCCCAAGACTGCTTACATGCAGCTGTGTTCTGGATTACTCCCTGTGTGCCTGGGATGGGTACATCAGTGCCTGTGCCAGAAGAGCAGGCCCCTCAGGCAACACCTTTGGCTGTGAGCTGTGCAGAACTCCCCGTAACGTATTAAGCTGAATCAGCCATCAAGCATCCTATTTGTGACAACCAAGTCCTCTGTTTTTAATGAACAGATAATAGTTCATCATTTGTTCTTTTGGTTTTCAGAGGATAATGTTCTAGTATCATTACGAGATACTACAAGGTTGCATCAGTGGTGCAAAAAGAACTCAGCAAGTGCAGAACCCATGTCCTTCACAAGAGCACTGGGAAGTCTTCGAAGTGTGCATATTTGTTTATAACTATCACTTATGCGTGATTTCTATATATCAGTTCCTATTGCTCAGCCTATCATTGCTGCTGTTATCCCAGGGTGCAGGGTGGGGAATCTAAACTCTGCAAAACAAAAGCCGGTTCCTGAATTCTCTGCCAACTTCTAACCCAAAGAGGTCCAGTTATACTGCAGACTTTCCCAGCCACAGCATCTGTTTCTCATAGTTAAGCATTTCTTCAACCAACTCTGGGTGGAGGCAGAATGCGTGGCTGATGGTGGGCCACATAACTGGGAGATGACTGCCACATCAACTTGCCTCTTGTACTCCTTCTCAAGGGCCGAACAAAAGGAAGTGGGGACAGGCAATACTAGCCTTTTAAAAGCGTCTTTGCTTGACTTAAAAATATAGAAACACATTATATAATAGCAAAGAGGGAGGCTACAACATTCTGGGGGAAAACAGGGTGAAGATAGTTTAAGCTGTAACCCTCAATGAGCAAAGATCTTCAGATTTCTGAATTCTGCGGCAGGTAAAATAAAATACACCACGAAGCCATGCCTGCACCCAAAGCACACTCAAGAGCACTTACAACTTTTCATTGTTTTCATCTGTGAAATAGAAAAGGCGGGCCATGTGGAAGAGGAATTCAGCCACATACTGCAGCAGCAATAAGATTAGTCCCAGACGTGTGAGGCTGAAGAAAAGGAGAAAAAGCAGGAGAGGTAAGTATTTGCTGAACCTTCTCCCACAGTTTGCCCCAGAAATGAACAAAGCTGTCTTGATCATGAACAAAATCAAGCTAATCCTTCTTCACCCCATCTCTTATTTAAGTTTTATTGTACTTTTGCAGCTCTATGCAAAAAATAAAGGAATTGTGTAACTTGCATAAACCAACCAAATACGTGAGTGCTAGATTTGGATAATTCTGCTATTGATGGAGGATACCAAATGCTATCCAGGAAACTGAACCTTCTGCCCACCAGTCACTGGAACATCCGCTAAAACCAGAAACTGCTCTCCCTTTATTCTGAGATTTTACCAAGCATCATCCACACATTTTTCAAACCTTCCAATTTAAGGCCAATCTATTCACACTCATCAGAAAATGTGCTCAGCATGGACCCTTTTCTTTTAAAGGCTAAGTCATGGTGTGGGCCCCTGACATGGATGAGGGCCCGGCATCAGATTCCTACCAGAGTTTCCAGCGCAGCTGCTATTTGCCTCTGAAAGGACTGAACAGGGCAAACAGCAGCTAAGAAGCAGGAGAGGGAAATGGTTTGCCAGGAGAGGGAAATGCACAGTTTGGCCATTCAGCATGGTTGTGGGAGTTTCAATTTTGCCCACAGGCCTTTGTGACTCCTCGGCCTCAGAGATACTTTGGACTCCTCCATGGTGGCATGCCAGTAATGGTCGACTGAGGCAGGGTTGAAAGGCCTTTGACAGGCCTTATCTGAGATGCTACATTTTATTATTTGTTGTTATTTTGCTTCTTTCATTTTCATTTTCATTTTTGCTTTGTTCTGTTTTCTTGTTGCATTTTAAATTGACTTATATAAGCAACCTGGGGTAGTTCAGTTTTGTATTAGGGAGGAGGGATACAGTTATTCCTAATGAATGAATGAATGAATGAATGAATGAATAATGAATATCAAGGTCAGACCTTGAGGCCTGGAAGAATAACTGAATATTTTTGGAATAGAATGTTGTATAAAACACCCATTTGTGTGTGTGTGCAAATTGCAGAATACCAGCTCTGACTATGATCAAGATGAGCAACTTGTCTCAGAGAGCAGCCAATTAAAAACAACAAAACTCTTAAACTTCAGGACTGGAAGCCCTAGTGGAAAGGAAGCTCCAGTGAGCAGAAGATCTGAGCAGTTACATCTGAGTAACTGGAGGACTGGGCTGTCGAGACCTAAAGATTGGTATGCTACACATTATACAATCTGTCACTTAATTTCATACAACCCATTGAAAAGGTAGTCCTATGTACCTTTACTTGGAATTAGGTAAAGGTTTCCCTCGCATAGGCATGAGAGTCACGTCCAACTCCGGGGTGGTAATCATCCACATTACAAGCCAAAGAGCCAGCGTTGTCTGAGGACGCTTCCGTGCTCATGCGGCCAGCATGACTTAGACGCTTTCATACACAGAATGCTGTTACCTTCCCACCAAAGTGGTACCTATTTATCTACTTGCATTTGCATGCTTTTGAACTGATAGGTTGGCAGGAGCTGAAGCGAGTAATGGGGGTTCACTCTATTACGTGGCACCAGGGATTCGAACTGCCCAACGGCTGACCTTCTGGTTGACAAGCTCAGTGTCTTACCCACTCAGCCACCGTGCCCCTTACTTGGGAATGAATCCTGCTGAAATTCACAGAATTTCCTTCTGAGTAAACATGCATAACGTTGCCTCAGCATGCTCTTCTTAAAGGTTTTTTTAATTAAACAAAGTAGAGGTGAAAATACTGAAAATATTAAGAGGTGTTTGTACATTGACTGGAGCATGGCTGACCATATCCATTATGGACCACATTAAAGAAAGAAAGCTTAGCAGCACTTACTTTAAAAGGTACGCTCCAGCAATATGCACCAGATAGAGGATGATGTATTGCAGCTGACGAGGAATCTCTTCCTGAACAACATGGAAAGACACAAGATGCCAATGATAATTTTATTTCGTCACTTCTTTATTTTGATTTATATGCTGCTCAATTAGCCATAGGCTCTCTGGGCAGCTTACATACAGTAAGTGGCTAATAAAGTGGCTAATAAATAGGTTGTGTATAACACTGGTGACATGGGTCGTTTCCAGTTCAACTGTGGAACTAGATTCAAGATTTTTGTAGATTTCTCACATCGTAGAAATCTGTACAGTACAGGATGAGGGAGCCATTTCCTAAGGCAGCTTTTTATTGGCATAGTGAATTTCAGATGGCCAGGAGAACAAAGACACTGAAGTAGGCATCCTTTCATATCTCACTAGAACAGGGGTAGGCACCCTTTGGCCTTAGGCACATCTGGCAACCTGAGACGCTGTTCAGGGAACCCTGCATGAGGTCTGCCATGAGAAGTATCGCAATGGAGAGGTCAACTGCCCAGATGTTCAAGTGCAAGGCAATAAACCATTCCTTTTCAACCCACAGTTTTCAGCACCTGTATAAACCTAACTCACAGCTGTCCCTTCTGCTGCTAAGCAAATGCATTCATTTTTTAAAGCAAAGTAGGCCAGATAGGGAACCTTGGTGGGTGCCAAGGAAGATGTCCTACCACCACATTAGAATCTGGGAAGGAAATAAAAGAAGTGCATCTCAAAATATATTCTACAATTGGGAAAATACATCTGTACCTCTGCCTTCAAAGTTAAGCACTGTATTTAAATTAAAATCATGATTTTTTTAAAAAATCAGCCTTCTATTTAACAAATCCCCTGATATTGACAGGTGAGAAGGAATCCCACACAGGTGAGTGAATGGGCTGGCTAAGAGGAACGAATTAGCCCATCCTTCCTCTGTCAGTCTGTTTGATTTCTAGGTTAGCTGAGGAGGAAGTCTGTCCCTTGGCAGAATTTGTGATGTTTGTCTACGGCCCTGCAAAGAGGCTGGCATCCTGGACTGCCACACTGGAGATGAAGAGGGAGGTCTTTTCTCCTCTGTAACCAGCATGAGTTTACAAGCTAGTCACTTTTGTGGGCTGCTTTACAAGGCTGATTTGTTTACTAAACGTATTTATTCCCCACTTTTCAGCCTCCCAGGGCCACCCGCTTACCCTGTTTACATATAACTGAGAAAGTTGGCTGAGCTGACACTCACCTTCCGAACTTTCTGGAAATACAGTTCAGGCAGTGCATGCAGCCAGTAAGACAGCTGACAAAGGTAGAAAAATTTCACCTGGAACCTAGCATTAAAGAAGAAGCAGCAGCATGGTTTTTATACATCTACATAACGCAAAACTCCGTGTTGCACATTCCTGGCATTCTCTCTGCTAATTGTCAAGTCATCCTTCTGCAGCTCACTTGTAAATACATCCTGAGAAGCTGAGCATTCCCAACTTCACCTGAGTAGGTGAAAACTGGCTACCATGGCTAGGTGAGTCCACAAGTGTTAATCTTCACCCCAAGTTATTAGGTGACCAAGTATCATTTCCAGTGTTTGCTGCCATAGATCATTCCGTGATGAAAGGGAAAAAAGGGAAATGAGTCACTTCTGCTGATCTGGGATGACCAGTCCCTGCAAGCTGATTTGGCAAGCCAGGAAGCGGATGGTCACCTCTTATCTCCTGTTGCATCCAAGACAGAGATGTGCGTTTCCTGCTTGGTCAAGGTAATGAGTTCATGATTGTGCAGCTTTCATGGACTTACAAAGGAACCATATAATAGTAGTAATGGAGAGAGGCCTCGGGAAGGCAGGGCCATAGCACGGCCCACTTCCTGTGGAAAAATGCACACTACACCCAAATGGTGTTTATTTAGCTGCTAAGTGGTAGCCAAGCTTATTAACGGCCTTCAAGAGTAAAGGTGATGAGACAAGAAGGCTTCAGTTCCAGCAAGACCTGCACATCCTAGCAAAGCAGCCCCCTGGAACCAGGAAAGCCAAGCTTGTGATTCATGCCAGGCAAGTTACAGCCTCAGTTCTGCTTCCAAGGCACACTGAATGAGCTCCTTTGAGGTTGCCTTCAAGCACTGGTGACTCAGCTCCTTGTGGGGACAGGAAGGAATCTTCTTCCAAGACATAAATGGGAGCAAGAATACCAAGGGCTGGTTCATAAAACTCTGGACTGGAAGGAAAGGCATGCTAGGGTTGTTGGGGGCCGTTCAATTGTTCCTATGCTTGCTCAAATCACATTTAAGCACAAGTCAGATGTGGTGTCACTCGGGGTAGTGATACTGAATTCACCAGTCTTTCAGATCAGCTTCATATACCAGCCCTTAAGTTCACCCACCACAGTTTGCCAGAGTTGAAAGCATCTTGGTTTGTGTTGAAAGAGTCCGCATGCTAGTACTTATGGCCTGATGAGCTGAACAAGCCATAGACCTTCCTTTCAGCCACCCAGAGTCTGCTTAACATGAAATGCAGACAAGGTCACAAATACAACAAGGAGATTTAAGTCCCCCAAAAAGCAAAAGCATGCTTTTCAAATACTGAGGTTGGTGCATCTTCCCCCCTACCCAAAACAGAGAAATCTGCTTTGCAAAAGTGTAACTGTAGAAATGGCTTTTGGCTAGAAAACATCTTGGCTTCCAGTGAGTCAGGGAAGAGGAGGCAGATGAGGAAAATGCATGCAAATCTTCCTAATAAATTAATTCATCTCTGTATTACTTTCTTTCAGACCCATCTGAAAATGCTAAGATTTATAGCTCCTTGGAAGTGGCTCAAACGGGCTCAATGCGCTAACAGCATGAACTGAAGATAATGTGACTGTATTTACAGTTGCATGTGAGTTTATCTGAATACAGTATGGAAACCTCTGCTATTGCAAAAATGGCTACAACAGTTTTAAATGAGACCAGGTATTCAGGACATTTTAACTTAATCCCTTCTTACCTTCACTGGTTTCCAATTCATCTCTGGGCCTGATTCAAGGTCCTGGTTTTGAGCTGTAACGATTTATACAGCTTGGAACCTTGTTATCTGATGGAACATTTCCTTCCTACTCATGCCCTTAGTAGCATAATGAAAACCTTGCTTGGAAGCATCCTTTGCACAGAGGGAAGAAAATTCTTGGGGAGCAAGGGAATGAAATCAAGGCCAAAATAGGCCCATTTCAGGAATGTGACCAGGAGCTTCAAAGTAACACTAATATTTCAAAGCACACATCAGATATGCCATTATGTATACCTTTGACATCACTGCTAATGTCAATAATGTTATATTTTCTTGTGTTCCTAAATCTAAACTGATGCATATCATCAAAATGTATGAACAATTTTGTATGATGTAAAATGTGTGATATGATTTGATTGGTTGAAGTGTATTGATTACTGGCATTAAAGGTTTCTGTCAAAACTAGGCTTTGAAAGGTTTTAGCTCTTAAAAGTTTTGAGATGTGTCTGTGTTTAGTTTTATTACTTAATATTTGTTATGTATTTATACTGTGATTGTATTTTATTATTTACTTGAATTTAGTACAATTCATTTTTTATTTTAAGGTGGCATAGAAATACGATTAGTAAATAATAAGGAAATAAACAGTGCTGGAGTTAAATTGTCACTATTTGTCACCAGCTTAAATAAAGCCTTTCAACCTATCCAAGTTCTATTTTCATTTCTGAAGCGATGGAGCTGAGATGGGTTTCATGCCTGCTTACATAGTCCTGCTACAGAAAGAACTATCACCAGCCAAGATAACTGACATGGTGTCTGGGGACTGTGCAGTCTGGAGTAGCTTGGAACTAACAGTGTCATCCAAAAGGAGTCTTTTGCTTCCCAAATTAGGTGACAAAAAGTCCAGGTCCTTCCCCTGAGGCAACTGCTCCAGGAGCATCCCTGGAAATTAAGCAGCTGCAAGGACACACAACCAAAAGCAACAGCAGCTATGAAGCAGAGCTGCCAGCACAGATTTTCGCAGAACAGTAGTTGTGTGTACAGCTTGAGAAGGACTGCAAGCTATAGTCTGAACATCTTCTCTGGCTGCTGAAGATGGGTGCATCCAGGGAAAGCGCATATTGCCGCTATTCAGGGATTGTATTCTTCAGGGATTTTCTTTGGCCAGAGAAAAGACCAAAGAACTGGTGGGAAAACATGGGAAAGCTATAAACTGGTATTGATGAGGCCTGGGACCCCTCACTCCATTTTGTGAAAGAGGCGAGGCAAGGATGACGCAGAAGCCTCATCTAGAAGCGCCAGATGAAACACACGTATTTGCTCCCCCAGCAACCACAAGGCTTTGATGAAATTTTGACAATGCTCACAGGAGGGGGCTCTGAGATTACTTTTAGAAGGCTTGAGGGTGCCTGCAAGCACTGTAAGATATAGGAGAAATATACTCTGTTTAACATTAGTACTTTTCCTGTACACATTTCCACAGGCAAATGCATCTTTCATACAAAGCTTGCATGCTCCTGAACTTGCCATCAAGGAGGGTACTCATCAGAAGAACACAGACTTAATCAATGTGCATTTGAAAAAAAAAAAAACACTTAGGGCACATTCCTATGGTTACTAGGTGTTGTCTAGATGGCCACAGGAACATCCAGAGGGTCCTCCCTCCACTCTTGCAGTCATTGTGCTTTTTTTCCACTGGCTGCAGCTCCAAAGTCGCACACGTGACTTCAAGGCTGGTGCTGGAAGGTGTGGGGGGAGCAGCCAGGTTGCAACTGCATGCAAGAAGTTCCAACTGTGCCTCAGCTCCTCCTCCTAGCATGCAGGGCTTCTGGAGGGCAAGGGAAGTGCGGGATCAGTCCCCACCTCTGAACTCCTCCTTCCCTCCAACTGGATACCTGCAATTTCTGGAGTTCAGAGGCCTGAGGGCAGCCACACCGAATGGTACCCTTGTCTACTTAGAAATAGCATGCCTAAATGTGCTCTTCTTCCAGGTGCATTCAGGGGAATGATCTTCATGGTGAAGCATGAAAGGGTTCGAGCCTCACCAATTTTCCCATCTGAAGTACTGGATGCACTTGCTCCTGACCTCAGATGAACTAAGGGAAGACCTGGCTGTGCTTGGCAGTGCAAAGTTCTACTGTGCGATGACAGTACAATCTCTGTGGCTACTTACGGGAGATGAACATGAGGGTAGCTCTCCCACAGACTCTTGGGGTTTGAGCAGTATCCTTCCTGAACAGAAAAAAATGTACAAAACTGGTAAGTCATCAGCAACCCCTGGCTAATGGCAGCCTGTTCCTGTGGCCAGTCCTGAATGAATGAAGGAAGGAAGGAATGAATGTGCAAACAGACAACAATGCTACTGTCACGTTTTAGAACAGGCTTCTCCAGCCTGCTCCCCCGCACCTGAGCCAGCACGGTCCTTGATGGGAATTGTGCAGTTCGTTTGGAGGACAGCATGTTAGGGAAACAGAAATGTATTTCTGCTTTTTGCTTGCATGTCAAAAGGCAAATAAGTGTTTTCAGAAGGGTGTGTGGAAGTAAAACTGAACGTACAGTATTTCAAAGAAATTTCACTACACAATACTTCTTTAATTTTAGATTAATTTAAGACTTTGTCAAGGTTCTCTTAACCTTAATCACATCACATGAATGATATACACTGGGGAGAAAGAGCAGCAACAGGGTCGGAACACCTTCAGTGCCTCAATAAACATGAAAGAGGTTACAACAGGTATCCTCTCTCCAATGTCTTCTACCTTGCTGCATATGCTATTTAAATTTTGCAGCCCTTTCACTGCCTGAAAACAATATCCTAATTGTATGTGTGTGGGGGGCGGGGGGGAGCTCCCACTGAACTTAATTCTACAATCAGCAATTGCAATCCAGCAATTGAAACCTGCATGATCATAGAAAGTATCAAGGCCATGGGTTGTGTGCCCAGCTTGCAAATATCCAAAGGAGTCCAGCTGGCCTCGGTTTGAGACAGAATGTAGGACTAAAAGGACCTCCTAGTCTCATAGAGCAAAGCACTGAGCACATTTTGAATTGGCTTAAAAACTGGGAAGCCACATCCGCCAATGCTTATCGCCAGTTTCAAAGACACATGGCTCACAGGCACAGAAACCTCTGTGAAAATTCCAACCCAGAGAAGTTCAGAATCTGATATCCAGATGTGGAATTAGGACAGCTTCAGAGCCCTGCTACGCTTCGGTCCCTCTGATGCAGTAAGAGCGTCAGATGTTTATTCACTCAGCGACAAACCCTGCTTAAGAAATCTGAGCATTAAGGTGTTGGGTTTGGAGGGAGAGAAGCTTGGCTAACAAAGCCCCCAAACTAAACTCATTCAGCTTATTTGCTCTCAAAGCCAAAGGGCTAAAAGGCTTGAGATATGAAAGACAGTGAATTTCACTTCTGTTTGTCTCTTTAAAGCTTAACTTTATGGAAATATATATACCTCTCAAAAACACCACAGTGAAATAGTTTTAAACCAGCAAGTAGCAGAATGATAAAAAATAAATCAATTGTGCTTTTAAAAATAACACTGTTTGTGGGTCAGATGGTGGGAAACCTGGTGTTACTTTGGCTTGGCATCATCTTGCTGGGTTGAGGAAGTCACTCTCCTTCCTCTCCAACGGTCCATACCCAGGTCTGCTAGGCTCTCAGCCACTGCCTGGCTCACTCCCTTGTTAACCTTAAAAAATCAGTGCCTCCTCCCTCTCCTTGGCTATCTCTCATTCCCAGTATCCAGCTGGGAATGTCCTATTAGGAGAGAGGGAGCCCCATCACCATTAAGGAAGCTGGCAATGGTCCATCTTGGTCCTGCCAGTAGATGCCACATCCTGAGTGAACAGATACAGTCCAAACCCGGTGTTTTAACTGCTCCTCCAGGAGCTTGAGACTGCTGTATCCTAAGTGTCCACTGGAATGATTTCTGAACATTATACTGCTGGGTGTGCTGAACATGTTTAGCTTTCTAGTTTTGGGCACAGAAGTCCCCATGTAACAGATGACCATCCCTTGTAAATGCAGGCTTGGTTCTTTATCATTGTACCCACCCAGAAGAATATTCCAAATTTCATGGCTCTGAATGGGGGTCCATGGAATTTATATATTCTTAGGCTCAGTTTTCCTTAGGGCCTTTGCCCTGCAGTTCTAGCTAAAATCGCCTATAGCTAATAAATATTATGAAATACGTCAGACTTGAGACTTGAAAGAACAGCAACCATCACCCAGTGTTTGTTCTAAAAACATCATGCCTTTCTCCGTTCATATTTCTAAAGCAGCAACGACCATTCCTTCTCAAATGAACTTTTCAAGTGATAAAGGCTCAAAACTTCTCTAAGATGAGGAATTTGAAGCTGTCGGGATGCAGGAAACAGCCACATGTCCGTTTCTCTCATTAACAAAAAGCTAGTGCGCGGTGCCCTTTGTTGCCCCCAGAGGTGCCACTGAAGTTTATTCCCAGATTTTCAGAAGGAAATTCAAGGCAGCTTACCGTCACTATGACATATAAGCACCAGATCATGGAGGCGAGATGAAATGCTACCAGCTGTCCAGATTCATTGAACTTGCTGTGCTTGATCTTGGAAAGATGGAGCCTCCGATTGATTTTCTGGAGGAAAATAAGTTCACAGCATAACAAGAATGAAAAGCAAATATTCCACCAGCTCTCCCATACAAATGCAATTGCTCAACATCACGTCAGGTGACTTAAGAATACCAAGTTTTGCTGTCTTTTGGCTTGGCCTACCAACCATTATTTGCCATTGCCACTGGCCCTCTCCACCTGTGCTAAATGAAAGGAGGCCCTTGAGGGAGGCTGAGTCTTATGCATGAGGATCTCTGGAGAGCCTGAGGCAAAGATGTTCTGCTTCTCCAAGACTGGATGGCTGTGGCAGCAAACGCCACCCCAGCGGCCTTTCACTTGGGCAAGAGGGCAGGTCCTGGGGACTGGGATTCCTGCTCCACCGCCACTGACTCAGCAGCGCCCACTGTCTTCCCCTGCAGCAGCTCACAGAGCTCTTGGTTTCCTTCCTGCAAGTGAATTATCTTTGCCACCAGGGGCAGGAAGAAAAGTTCAGTGACATAAATCCATGCAGATTCCAGTGGCACCCACACACCCATAAAGGTGGGCCTTAAATAGAAAAACAGCCCAGCCTTGCCCATCCTCAGGAACAAGTAGCAGAAAACTGATTTTGCAAGAGAGGAACGAAAAGAGAAGTGAGGGAGGAAATTAAAAGGGCTGTGAAAGCGCCTGGAACACTGTGCCTTGCCAAGAGACCTGCCCCAGTGACTCAGAGCAGCCGTGGGAAACCCAGGCTGCCATTTGCCTCTCTTCCTCAGCCTGCCACTCTTGTACCCACCGACATTGCTTGGTGGCAGCTGGAGGCATGTGGGAAGACTGCGGGGGTGAGTGGCTATGGCCAATTAGACCTGGCCACCTTGGAAGCGGGGCTTGCTGCCAGGAACCTACTTATACCTGGAACTGGCTGGGGCAGTGGGCCTGGGCAGCAGCCCCGGATGGGTGCCAAAGGTTACTGCCCACTCGGGGCCCATGTGGGGCCTGTGGGGATTTCTAGGTGCTTGGGTGCAGGCCCATGTGTTTGCGTCACAGCTGAGAGTTGGAACACTGAGTCTGACTTGTGCCTGGATGCGGAGGGGAGGCTTGGGGGTACCGCCATTGGGGTGATTATGGGTCTGGGGAGATACGGCAGTGGGGGAGGAACAGGCCCATGTAGAAGAAGAGGGGACAGGCATCTTATACCTATTCCCTTTCCTGGTTCCTCCCCTAGCTGGACAGTTTCGAGTAGCTGTTGTCAGTCTGCCCTCTGGCCTACAGCTGCTGCTCTTAAATGCCAGGTTATTTCAGAATAAGATCTCCCTCATCTACGATATGATCATTGGAGGGGGCGGGCTGACCTGGCTTGTATTACTGAGACCTGGGTGGGAGAAGTGGGGGAGAGGTTCCCCTTTCCCAGTTGTGCCCACTTGGTGCAGCACCAGCATTGCTTGGAGGGCGGGGGGGGGGGGACGGTGGCAACAGTCTATAAAAATACGATCTCCCTTGTCAGACTTCCAGTCCAATCGAGAGCCGGGTTCGACTGTCTATACCTGATACTGGACATTCAAGACAGACCAGGGATTCGGCTGCTGTACTGTCCACCCCGTTGCCCAGCAGCTTCCCTGCCTGCGCTGAAAGAGGTCATCTCAGACCTGGCAGAACCAGTTGAGGACCCCCAGAATGTTGTTTCTGAGGAACCTGAACATTCATGCTTTACCTGAGGCAGCTCAGGACTTCATGGCTGCCACGACAAACATGGGGCTGTCTCAACATGTTATTAGGCCAGCTCACAAAAAGGGACACACTCTAGACCTGGTCTTTCCAATAGATCTTGAAGATGGTGGCTCAGATGTGGAGGAGTTAACATTTACCACATTGTCATGGCCTGACAACTTTCTGATGAGGTTTGGGCTGTTGGCACCTTTTCCCCTCTGCAAGGGTGGGGGACCTAGTGAGATGGACTGCGTCAGAGACTGATGGATCCTGGTGGCTTCCTGAGGTTTCTGGGGGAATGTGAAGCTGACATGGCTGGCGCTCCTGCTGAAGCCCAAGTCACTCTATGAAATGCAGAGATATGACGTGCTGACACGATCACTCCCAAGCATCCTCTCTGCCCTCGAAGAGCCTGACCCGCTCCATGCTATACATCAGAGTTGAGGGCAATGAAGTGAGAGGGGACATGGCTAGAGCGTAGGTGGAGGACATCAGTCAGTATTCTGCCACTTCTATTCCATCTTCGCAGTGCCATCCAGCTGAAATTTTCTTAGTGGTTCAGCATCTCCTACAGATGGGAACATCCAGTGAGACCACTGAACCCTTGGTGGTTCGCTGTGACAAATTTGCTCAGCACTTTGAAGTCACTCAACTCTGCCACGATCTGGACTCTATAGTTGACTTAGTTCCATTGAGAGAGGTGTTCAAAGTACCACCTTATCTGACTTTGATGGATGAGTTTCAATTGTTGCAGTCTGATGATATGGACAAGGTACTTGGTTCTATTCGTGCCACCACTTGATTACTTGACCTTTGCCCAGTTTGGCTCATCAAAATATCAAGCTAGGGAGATTGCACCTGGGTCTAGGAGGCTGTCAATGCCTTGTTGAGAGAGGGAATGGTTCCAGCCCCGCTGAAGGAGAGGGGTGATAAGACCACTCCTAAAAAAGCCGACCCTGGACCCAGGGGCCATTATCAACTATAGGCCTGCTGTGAACATCCCATTTTTGGGTAAGGTGCTCAAGCAGGTGGTGGCCGAGCAACTCCAGGCACTCTTGGATAAAATGGATTCTCTAGATCCATTTCAATCAGGTTTCAGGGTTGGGATGACCTTTGCCAGGAGAAGGATGGGGGAGTACAACCCTGTTGGTTCCCCTGGACTTCTCTGCAGTTTTTAACATGATCAACGATGGTGTCCTTCTGGACAGGTTGGCTGGGCTGGAAGTTGGGAGCACAGCTTTGCAGGGGTTCCACTCCAACCTGGTTCACCATGTCCAGAAGGTGGTACTGGGAGACGGTTGCTCTGCCCCATGACAGCTGCACTCAGGGTTCTATACTGCCCACCATGTTGTTTAACATATATATGAAACTGCTGGGAGAGGTAATTCAGGGGTGGGGACTGAGGTGAATTGGGCTCCACATCTTTTTCTCATCAAACTCAGGTGAGATAGTCTCTGTCCTGGATCATTTCCTGAACTCGATAATGGACTGGATGAAGGCCAAGAAATTGAAGCTTAATCCAGATAAGACAGAGGTGGTATTGGTAGATGGTATGTCTGCCTAGAGGGGATCACACTCCCCTGATGGACAGAGTTCATAGCTTGGGGGTGCTCCTGGACCCAAAATTATCACTTGGGTCTCAGGTGGACTCAGTGGCCAGGAACACATTCTTTCAGCTATGATTAATTTACCAACTTCAGCCCTATCTGGATAGACAGAGTCTTGCCACAGTCACCCACGCTTTAGTAACCTCTTGACTGGATTACTGTAATGCACTTTCTATAGGGCTGACCTTGAAGACTGTACAGAAACTCCAAATGATGCAAAATAGGGCAGCATGACTACTAATTTGAGTTGCCCTATGCATCCACATGACACCAATACTATGCTAGCTTCACTGGTTGTCATTTGAGCTCCAGGACCAATTCAAGGTGCTTGTTTTAACATATAAAGCCCTAATGGCTTGTGATCAGGATACTTGAAGAACTGCCTGCTCCCATATGCACCTACCTGACCCCTGAGATCAAGTTTGGATGCCCTTCTGAAGGAGCCTTCCTTCAAGGAGCTAAGGAGGATGGCAAGGAGGATGGCAATCAGTAGAGGGGCTTTCTCAGGGCTGCACCCCAGCAGTCTGCCTGGCACCTTCTTTACAATCCTTTCAGCCCTGGGCAAACCAATTTTATTTTCCAGATATTTTAATAATTGATTTTGATTCTGTATAATTTATTAATTTTTAATTGAATTACATGTTGGTGCATTTTAGATTTTAACCTGCACTGTTTTAATCTCAGGTTAAACTATCATCTGTACACCATATACTGTATATTAGATTGTATGTTTATTTTATACTGTTGTGGCTTGTGTTTATGATGGGAACTGTTTGTTATGTTGTTATACATTGTTTTCATTCTCGTTGTTTGTTTTGTTTTCACGTGTTTGTAAATCTCCACAGAGTATCCTCCTGGACTATTGGTTAATGCAGATTATGAATTCAATTATAAATAAAAAATGAATTTAAAAAAGCAACCTGGATGTTTGGAGGGAAAAAGTATATTAGTGAAATACTAATTCTGACAAACTCACAACCTTCAGTCCCACACTCGAATCAAAGCTGAAGGTGACACAAAGTCTAAAAGCACATTCAATTTCTTTTTTAAAAAATGGGACTAAGAACACTTTCCTGACTTCTGAGGGGCGTTGTGACCAACATCTACCAAGCCAAATTTTCTATGGCACCCAGCCAAAAAGACAGACCTAAGTGTCTGACAGCTTGTAAGAAAAGTAAGACTTACATCCAAGGCATATTCCTGTACTACAGCATGCAGAATTATTGCTATGGAGATGTAGAAGAGGATTGTGACCAAATCCTTCAGCCCGTAGTGATAAAGAACAATTTCACCATCTACAGAAAAGAAATGGGGTCAAGGAAGAAGATATTAATACCAAACATTTAATCTACTTAGGCTCCAAGCTTTTCAAGGCATCAAGCAAGAGACAGAGTTGAAATAACAGTGAATTGGTTTAACGTTGGCAAGAGGCATACAACAGACCACAGTGAGCATTAAAGGCCTGATTTTAAACACAGCCCAGTTGTGTACACAGATGTTTACATGTGCTCCTACTCATTGCCAGCAAAGGTATTCCACAGAGGGCCTTTACAGAAAAAGGATCTTCCATGGACTGCTGTTGTAAAGAGAAGGCATTTAATCTTTTCTTCAGTCTACCACTTTTCCAATTATAAACATGGATTGAAACCCCCAGAAGCGAAAATTTATCAGTAAGGTGGTAAAATAGTATGCTTAGTATGGAAAAAGTATGTTCTAAAATGGCTTCCCTGACCTAGAAACCTCCAGATGTTTTGGGTCCAAACTCTTATCATGACTGACTATAGGCAGTTCCCAAGTTACAAACACCCAAGTTACAAACAACCCATGCTCATGAACAGCCAAAAAGCCCATTACTTTTAAAAGATTACTGCAGAAAATTGTTGTAACCATAGAGACAGAGGAAGTGAAAGGGGAGAAAGAGAGGCCTCCAAAGCATGCCTTCCTGCCCTGCCCATCCGGAAAGGGAAATCTCTCCAGCACTTCCTTGCTGCAAAGAGGAGGCACTGCTGAGTTGGAGGGTGCAGGGTGGCGCAGACCAAGATATTCATGATTTTTCCACTTGTACAGGGGTCCTGCATCCCTAACTGCCATGAATGTGGAGGGCCAACTACACGTGATACAACTTACACACGCATTTGACTTAAATACAATTTTCCCTTATCTCAGGAACAGAACTTATTAATAATCTGGAGACTGCCTGTAATGGCCATGCTGACTGGGGCTGATGGGTGTTGTAGGCCAAAACATCTAAATGACCTGGGTTAAGGAAGGATGGGCTAAAAAACGTGGTTCAGCCAATTCCTACACACATTGCTTCTCTGTTCTCACTCTGACCTACCTCCTTCGGACTCTAATAACTGCCTACTGAGTAAGCCAGTCTCTGAACACAAATAAAAATCAGATACACTGGCTGCTCTGAGAGTTTAGATCATGAGTCCTCAAACTACAGCCCACGGGCCGCATCTGGGCCGCCATGCCCATTTATCCGGCCCGCCTCAGAGGTTCTGGACTCACGTGGAGAAGGCGATCTCCTCACCTCGCTGTCACCTCTCCACATGTGCGCCTGCCCATGCCACGCACATGCCCGCCACCCCTGCCCCCTCACCGGACCATGCCCGACACCAGTGTCACCTCGCTGGCCCGCACCCACCGCCAGCACCTTTCAACTGGCCCCCTGTTGAAAAAGTCTGAGGACCCCTGATTTAGATTAATAACAGATTAATCAATGAACTGTCCTTGTTAAAACTAGACAGATTTAAATGTGCTTTCTCTGGGATGGCACAGCAACAAAAGGGCAGAGAAGGTTTTCTGAAGGGTGAAGGAGATTCCCTCACTTGTTCAAAAAAAAAAATTGAACACCTGGCCTGTTGCAGAGTTTGCATAATCTAGGGCTGGAGGGTAAATAGCCCATAAGATTAACTTTTAACCCATTACTAAGATAAGGGACCTTTAACACCTGTCTGTATTAAACTTTTCAAGAGTGGCTTTTTGGCAAGGACAATGTCAATCTTAGTGTTTGTGTGTAATGGCTAACTATGGGTTTAACCATAAAAAACCTAGAGTGCTGAGTCTGGATGTCTCAACAACGATCCAGGAATGGAAATTTCATGGTTGTGTAGGCAAGTGGAAGTAGGTGACTGGGCAGGAACCAGCATACTCTCTCACATCTGTTTACCTCAGAAATAGTCCATGGCTTACCCATGGGTTGTTTGATTGTACGAACCAAGTCAATGAAGTGAAAAGGAGAAAAAGCAACTGGAAGCTCGATTGTTGTAGCAATTACATAAACCTTGTTAATAGGAGAAAAAATCTAGCAGTCTTAGCTTGTTGGACATCAAGCAGGTATTTATAATACTGTTCTGGACATTGTGAGAACCCAAGGCTATTTCAACCGCAGGGTGGCTCTGAGGAAGCAGGCATATGGATACACTCTCCTGTTTGGAGCAGCTAAGCAACCCAGGGATGTTCATCATGTATGTATCAGGAATTCTGGTTTGTCAGGGAAGAGACAACTCAGATGTGGAATGTATGGTTCAGCTTTGGATTCTAGCTCTAGCTTGTCTATCTCCTGGAAAGCCATAGCCCCTAGTTTACATTCAGCACTGAACAACCTGGGAGTAGAATAGTAACTGATCGTTGTGATAACCAGACAGAGTGTGTTACTAAGATATGCTGATCTTCTCTTACCTGCTGTAGGCACACTAACATTATACTGAGGTAAGATAAACAAGAAGGCAGTTTTGGCTGTGACCTGTAAAGACAAAATAAAAATGCCATTGTTATGCTTGCTTAGAAAAATCTCAACAGATATTTGGACTTTTTGTTATAAATACGCAAACATCTTTTCACTCAGCCACTTGCTTTCTTACTCCTGAAACTCTTAATAAAATACCTGTACTAAAACCGAAGCAGGTTAAGTTAAATTTACTTTTCTACTCTTCCTTGCATCAGTCAAGGCTAGAGAGACCAAGCTCTGAAAAATCTCCTCTTCTGTCTTCAGTTCTATGTATTATGATCTGTAGGATGTCATTCATGGAGTTAAGGGTAATACACACTATCTCTAATCAGATAAATATATTTTGTATTATTTAAAAATATTTATATTATTTACCAGTGTCTGTCCACCTGGTCCCCAATTGCAATTGGTCTGCAACAAGCCAGCTCTAAAAATTAGCTCAGTATTTCTCAGATTCCGCAGGTTCACACTCCCGATTTTTATCCTTTTGCCTCAGAGATCATCATCCACAACAAAAAGGATGGTAGGGTCTAATCATCTTGATGGGATTAGGGTGTCTCCAGGCCCAACCTTATCTAAGCAGTTGGAAAGAAGACTGGCAGCAAAAATGACATGCGCCCCTTCTCTCATCTCTAGGGATGACGCCACTACCCATAATCCCACAGGAATGGAAGGGGAAATGATAGTGCAATCCTCACTCAAGAAAGGCAACGAAGAAGATCAAGAGCAGCCCCTTTATCAAGGCCAGCCAAATTCACATAGTTATAGCAGTGCGTGAATCCTGCACATTTGCCATGATTTGATATGAAAAATCATGACACATCAGCACACCAGAAAAGAAAATAACCTGGATGACTTAAGAGAGGGGGCAAACTACATGTTGCATGGAAAAGGAACAACCCACTTACCCATCCCAAAACAGTAATTCTGTCCTGTAGTGAATTAATTCCTAGCAGTCTCAAACACAGCTGTTTATCTCAGTACATCCACTGTTCAGAGATGTTAATCTCAGTAACGGATGAAATTCATACCCCATTGCCTGATAGCAAAAGTTTCTCTATATTTACATTATCTTTTAAATGTATTTTAAAGGATTTTAATACAGCCCGAAAATTCTATTCATTAAAGTCTTCTCTGCACAAGGCATCAATTGTGTGATTCTTCACCAAGGTTAGATGTACAACTAGAAAACATTTTACAAAAATAAACTAAAACTTCAGCTTTGAACTGCAAAACTCCAACTGTATGCATCTATTTGTCCATGCACCGAAACTTTTCATTTTCTTCTGTTGCTCATGTACATTACATAGGAAACACATCTGCAGAGGTCTGCCTGTCATTGGTATGGGAGAAATATGTTGTGGTTTCAAAGCTCCTGTTTTACATTAGAAGTAATCTCCCGGTAAACTGTGCAATGCATAGATGGAGAAAGAATTAGGGAACAGGGCAAATGGAATGTGCAGGCGTGATGCCTCATCCCCACTGAAAACTAGTCCAGGCCAAGTAGTTTTATTGAAACAACACATAGCAGTGTGTGTGTGTGTGTGTGTGTGTGTGCGTGTGTGTGTACATAATTAAACTTCCCCTTCCACTGCTGGCTCACATAATCCATTCTTGCAATGAAATTCTTCCTGCCTTTTAAATAAGAACCAGGATTAAGCACTTGCATTTAAGCAGAATGGGGAGACTGAGCAAATTCCGTTTACTAGCTAGGTATGCTGGGCTTCCAAGAGATGCATCACAGGCAGAAATTCAGCAGGTTAATACCTGCCTGGTTCTAGAGTAACAGGCAGAAGGTCTGGTCAAAAGAAATTGCCTGATGTGCAGCTGTTAGAGACCAAAGAGCCCTGCCAGACTATACAAACTGCATGAGTCCCAGTCTCAGCTAAGCAACAGGCTGGAGCAGAGGACCATCCCACAAAGATTAATGGGGCCCTGAGGATAAAAATCGAAAAGGAGGCAGATGGCAATGGAAGCACAGGCTACAGGAAATGGGGTAGCAAGGACATGAGGAGGAGAAATTAGGCAAGCAGAGCCGAGAAGAATAGGACGTCTGTAGCTAGGAAGCATCAAGAAGAAAAAATGAAGGTAAGTATTAGCCCATTGTACACCCACTAAGTCAAGGATACATTGTGTTGTTCCTCCATCTGCAAAATTTTTAATTCATGTTTCAAAAAAGGGTTGTGTGTGCACATTACAAGTATGTCCTCCAGCTGGAAAACTAGCTCTAAAATGCTGAAACAAAAGAAGTCCAGCCATTAGTCTGGTGCCAGAGATAGAAGTCAGAAAGGCAATGGATGAGGCACAGGAGCTATTTAGAATGAAGAGCAGGGGCTGGACTTGTAATCAAAGTCCATTTACAAAACAGAGGAGGAGTTTGTTCTCCTGCTGTATATTTCACAAGGAACAGCATGCCTAACTGGAGCAGCTGGAGCAGGGGCCGATGCAAAAGACAAAAAAGAAAAAAAATATGACTCACACATCAGGAAAACTTGATGCAGGAAAGAACAAAACAGTTTGGGAGTTAGAAGCCTACAGCAGGAATTACAGAATGCAAACAGCCATGGAACCCACAACAGCTTTACTTGGATTGCATCCACTCCTTGAAAACCTTAATCTAGTCACAAAATATAAGGGGTTATTTCTTAAGAAATAAGAAGTTCTAGTTGCAAGAATCAGAAATATCCCAGGAAAAATTCATCTAGCAACACCACTGTACCAAATTCATGGAAGATGGCTAAACTGGGGACAAATTTAGGGTGATGGTGAATAGACATCTAATGCCCTAGTGCCTGTAGTCTCTAGTCCAGATCACAGTTACTTGCATTTGTCAATCAACAGAAAGACAATTGCTTTTTGTATCATCCAAACCTACCAGTATTTTCAAGCAGAGCTCCCATAAAATAATACACAAGCAAGATTCCCTCCATCTCAGTCTTCTCACACAATAAGTTAACAAGGGAGGGTATACTGCAAGCCATCTCTTCTGCACGCTTGCATTGCTTGCAGCGACTAGCAAACCACTTGAAGTGATGATGGATATTCTCTCTGCAGTGATAGGAGAGACGAGTCAAGAACCACTGGTGGAAAGAATGGCCCAGTTCCCACGCAAGAAGAAGTCACTGAGAGAAAGCCCCCCGCTTTTTAAAACTTGCAGTGGCTGCTGCTCTTTTGAATATGTATGACCTGATAACAGTGTACTGAAGTTTCTGCTTACAGATGAACCTGCAAAGGGTGGGTTGCTGCAATGAATAACAAGTACCTGCCATGGGTTCTGGGTGGCTTGCTCACTACAGCAGTGGCAAGCCATGTCATTGACAAATTTTTACAGTTTATTGCCCAGAGAACCATTTCGGCTAATGGGCGGTGTAGAAATAAAATGAATGAATAAGTAAAATTGGTCAGAGTAATTACACAAATCATCTTGCCACACAACAGTGCATATGGTAGGGGTGGAAAGCCATGTGCAAATTAGGTCAAAGTGTTCATACACTGATACCCAGCATTTATTCCCCTTCCCTGATCATTCCTAAAAACTCTAAAAGGAAGATCTTTAGGTAAGACTGTAACACACGTATATATCAATATTAGCACCTTAACAATAAGTTCCCTGGCCAGAACAGGCTTTCAGGCAATGGGCCATGGGCCATGTTGGGTAGGCTTGAGCTCACTATCCTGGGCTAGTCAGTGTGAAAGAAGAATGAATCCTGGAATTCTTTGTTCCCTGAAAAACAGATTAGGCCAAACAATCCTGCAAGGTGGATGATTCAGTGTCCTGAGACACCTAGAAATTACCCCATAAATAGCAGCTAGCAAACACAGTCAAAGACCAATGGAAAATAGATATGCTCATGGTCACAAAGAAACAATAGTTAAGGTCACCATGAAGCAATCAAGCACCCATCCTACTCTTCCTTCCCATAGACACAAGTATGAGAGATATAATCTAAAGATCAGGCACTTAGGAAAGGGAGTCAGACACACTCTGGACAGAGCAGAAAGAGGAGGGACACGTTCTGAACACAGCACAGGCAGAGGCCAGTTTAGAGCACAGGCCTGACTCCCGGTCCTCCACACACACACACACACACACACACACACACACACACACACACAACTGCTGTCCAGAATCTACCCTGAAGGGCAGGCAATGGACCTCCTTTGTCTGTCCCTCTGTTATCTTGTCTCTCTGTTAGGCATGAAGTTCTTTATCTCTTAGAAACAAAGAGTAAGACTGGAATGTAACAGGAATATTTGCTGCCTAGACAACATCAGATTAAAAGCTTGTGCCTGCTCTATATTTTCTGCTGAACACATTTTCCTTTCCTTTCCTTTCCTTTCCTTTCCTTTCCTTTCCTTTCCTAGTGTTGTGACTGGCCCAAAGCCACCCAGTGAACTTCATGGCTGAGTCAGGACTAGAACCTGGATCTCCCAGTCTAAAACTAACCACCAGACTACTAAGGCTGTCAGGCTAGACTTGAATGAGATAACACTCTGGCCCGTATCTAATGCTAGCCAGGTGCTAGCAGGACACAAGCCAAGTACAAGAGGAAGCTATTGGTTCCCAAAGCAACTGGAAACGAACCAAAAATCTTGTTTCCAGACTGGGCCAGTAAATGAAGCTTACAGAAGGGAACTTTGCTGGGCATTCCCATTTTATACAAGATTTTAATTCTAGGGTTGCTTTATATTTTTACAGGCACTGTCAAGTCAACTGAACATCTGACCAGTATACAAGCGATCAGTCAAACAGCATGTTAAATTAAAAATATTGACATGCATCAATTATGATACCAATTTTCAGAGGAAATGTTCAAAACTTCAAGATCTAGAAAGTTGGAAACACTAAAATATCCAATTGAAAAAAGTTTTAGTTTGAGGACAATGTGGGTGTTAATGAAGCAGGGTCCAGACCTGTAACAATATATATCTATCAGCTTACTGGTGCTTTGAAATATCCTCCTGACATCTGAATAATTTTATGCAATGTACCATACAGCAATACTTTATATATG